ATTAAACTTGAGATGTTAGAAAGGTCACAAGCATATTTCTTTGGATAATTTTATCTTTGATACATCCATCCATCTTTATTTCTTTAATCGAGCATATACAAATTTTATAAATAAGTGTCAATAAAACTAGAACGATATATTTGTTTATTCTATTACCTATGAACAACGTTGTTGGAAACCTTTTAGATAATTTATAAATAAGGAGAAGTAAAATTAGAACATTATTTTTATTTACTCTAATACCATGTTAAACAAAATCATTTAAAAACTTTCAGACAATACACAAATTTATAAATAAGTAGCTGTAAAACTAGAACACTATTTGTTTACTCAGACACAATGTTGAACAACCTCTTTTTAAAACTTTTAGATAAAATAATTCAACACGCTATATATTTTCAAAGTACTAAAAAAAAATATTTGGGCGTTAATTTTAAAAACCTCGTATAAATTATATTAGTTGTTTGCAGTGATTATTAAATTGAACAAATTAATTAAAATTAGAGAATAAAATAATAAATAAATGTCTTTGTTATTGGATGTTTAGCAAAACTTAAATATATTTGAATCTGATCAAATATATTTTTATCCACACATTTTATAAACCCATATATTATTAACATTTTTTATTTACATATTTGTTGGAACTTTCTGCTTAAATTATAACTTAAGCAATTCCAAACATGCATATAATATTGTCGCATGTCAATCTACTTCCTTTTTTTATTATTTATTAATAAATTTTCTATTAAAACTTCCCTTTCTACTAAATAGTTTAAACCACTATTATAATTTTCGATTTACTTCGCTAGGGAAGTCATGTTCATTTAATAGATTAACAGTTGTCTAGTGTAAACCCTAGAAGGGTCTTCACTCTTCAACAATACTATTAATCCCTTGCTTGGTTTGCATAAAAAATAAATTTTTAATAGATTTCGGTAAAAAATAGCAAAATATGTGGTTAAAAAATTTGTGGATCCTATAAAATATGTAATTGAAATTGAGTTTGAGTTTGAGAAAATATAAATTTTAAAAAATGGGATGGCTATATAAATGCAAAATGAATTGCAAAAACTTCAATTATGATCTCTTATCCTTAACGGATAGGATAAACAAATTTCATTATTGACGTAGTAAGAGAACCTTAGATATGGTTATCTGGTAATAAATTCAAGGAATCATAAGGTAGGAGATCAATTTTAGCATAAACTTCGTTCTTGGAAGTGCCCCTTATTATAGTTATATAATTTTTTACTTTAATAATAATAATTTTTATAAAATTATCTTTTTCTTTTTCCAAGGTAAACCTGGCAAAGACATTCTTTCAAAACGAGTAGGTACAGGATAATGAACTCTATTGGATAGGCAAAGACAGATCTTTGAATGAAACGAATTTCAGCGCGTTTTATTGTTGATTGATGGGTGTTTGGTGCGTTCACATTCCTTCTATCCAAACCTAAATATCCTTTGAGTTGTAATATTTTGTCAATATTATCAGATTTTGTTTTGTCCTCATATAATGATTATTCTGGCCATGAATACGAATTTAATGGTGAGAGGTGAAGCTTTAGAGGTGATGTAACAAAGTTTTTCATTAAATAAAAAAAAATACATTTAACAGACTTTTATTAAAGTTGATAAAATTATATGTTCAATAAAAGGTGTAATTAAAATTGAACTTTAACCAATTAAAAAGTAGATAAAATATCCAAATAAGCACTTAGTATTTTCTTGTCAAATGAAACCACTTAACCTAGGTTAACCAAACTCACAATGCATAAAAAACTAACCGTTCCTAAATGTTAATATACCTCTAGAAAAGTCTTTTATTGTTATTCAAGACTCGACGATATATTTCAGTGTTCAGTGACGGAGCTAGAAGTCAGTTCAATGGGTGTACAAATTAATTAAGAAAAACTTTAGAATAAAAAAAAATATGTACAAAATAACATAAAACTATCAAAAAAAATTATCATTGTTAGTTTTCATACTTTGTAATGCTGTATAATGAAATCATTTACTACTTTTTAAATACATCTCCATAACTTCTTACATATCAAACAAAATAAATTTACTGTAGATGTAACTAAACTTAGTTCTACTGAATAATAATGCTCAAATTCTATTGAACAACTTATATAATTAAATATGTCCACAACAAATTCAAATCCTAAGCATATAGGCATAATTACGTCTAACAATAACCCCCACTCAAATCAATCAATTAATAATAAACATAAAACACGATGACAACCATCCTAAACAAAGTAATAATATAATCTAAAAGTCTAAAATAAATGGATTAAGAAAGTGAAAGCTATAATATTCACTCAGTCACCGCTATTATTCAACATGTAACTACGACCATCATACTTAAAAAATTTGTCGACCCAACATTAGTGCTAGCTATATTTACAATGTAGATATCATAATTTGTTCTTGTAACTTAATATGAGGTGTTTCAATTATCACCGACAATGATTATAGCTATATATATATCATATCAGAATTATAAACCACAATTGATCAATATATATCTATCATTATATACAAAATTTTGTGTAGGGGTTAGTATCATGTCTGTTCCTTGCTTTACAATGTATGGACTTTAACTAATTAATGAATAACATGAAAAAACATGGAGAATTGTAGGCGATTGGACATCATATTGCATCAAAAACTATAATAAATTATTTTACCATATTCTTTAGTCAAATTACATTAATCACAGCTCTTTGTCACGTTGGTAAATTTACGTAACAGATAACTTTTCTTATAAGTTAAAAGAATAAGAATATTTCAAAAAATTACAATTGTCATATCAATGAAAATTCTTGTAGTACACGGCTTAGGACAGTTGCTTTACAGACCAGAAGTCTGAATCTTGTCTAACCGTGTCAATATCAAGTCCTATGAATCACATTAACTAATTAATTGATAATTAATAAAAGAAAAGGAAATAGAATGTTAACTATCGATCTTCTATAACAATTTCTAATCCTGGGAGAAAAATGTATATATTTACATCATTAGTCATTACTAAATAATGCTATAAAAGAAAGAGTAATACAATTCATTATTAATATAGATCATCGCCAGTCTATTGTATATTGTACTCATGAAATTTATCCACGACACCTAGTTGAATTTACTCCAACAAGCTTATGTTTGCCTCTTCACATGATAAATATATAAATAGTTGATACCGCCTGAATTCAAAAACTGATAAACACTAATGCACACATTTGAATGCCAAAGACTAAGGGTCGATCATATGGATTATTGTATTTTTTCAAACTAATTTCGGATGAATGAAAAATTAAGATCGAAACAGAGACGTGTAACACATGGAATATTATTGATGATTGTTTTAGCCGAAGATACAACATTGCTGTTTTCTATTACATTTTTGAGGTGTGTATTTGAGAATTAATCTACTTGCACAATGAATTCGTACAAGTAGATTGATAATATGTGAGGTTTCAAGATTCTTTCCATCGATTTCAAAAATAATTTTCCAAACCAATGGCAGAATACCTTCCAACTCATATAGTGTCAAATTAATTGTATAAGTAGCATAATTCTGTGTATTTGGACTGTGTTCTTAACTACTTGTACTTTATTTCTTACATACATACTTTAGTCTTGAAAAACATGGAATAACGACAAGGTATCCGAATTTTGTACTGAAAAGATAATGACCACCACCATCACCTCAATCCTTTCTTTTTTGTTTATTTCTCCATACAGCCAATTTTTTTATAAGTGACAGATAATTGGCTTTTACTGTTAGCATATGAACTACTAGTGTATATCCAATAATTTATCCATTATATTCAAACATGGATGTCAAGCACTTACGTCTCAAATCATGCAAGATTTTGTGATACAAAAATGGATCAAAAGCAAGTTGGTGGTTTTATACTATTTGGGAAATTGGAGCAAACAGTTCCCAAAAGAGATATTTATTAAGTTGAAATGGATGCATAGTAATTTTCTACAGAAGCAGACGGCACATCTTAAAAAGTAAAGAGTTTGCATTTTCAAGTATTGGGATTGGAGAAATCTTTTTTACATTCTCTCGCTCTATTCACTTTACATTGATAAAAGTTGAGTAAAAAGAAGCCACCAAAGAGCAATACTACCTTATTATGAAAGAGAGAAATTATAAACAAAGTCCGATTAGACCACCCACCGCACGCTTGCATACTCATTTTTACCACTACTTATTTTTAGCTTTTTCAAAATGAATCTCTTCTATTTTTTTCCCATAAATTATGATATCTGGCTAGATAGGACGCTGAAATGAACTTAGGGTGTGTTTGAATACAAGTATGAAATTTATATGGAAATAAAATAAATTCTTAAGCAAATTATTATTTGTATAGAGATTGTCAATTAAATGTATTTGTTTAATTTTCAACTTAGAAGGTGTTGTGCTTGTCTATTTTTTATTGTTGGGTAAATAAAAGAGAGATGGAGTGGATGAGAGAGAAAGAGAGAGTGAATTACCTGAAAAATAAAAATTTATTCCCCAAAGAAAATATTTTTCTCATTTGTTAGGAAAATATGGTTATGTGACCAAAAGTAGAAAAATATTTTTCATGAAAAACTTATAAACCAAACAGCACAAAAATAAGAATTTGGGTGGAAAAAAACGACGTTTTCCATGAAAAAATAGTTATAATGAAATGCACTCTAAATGAAGAAAGAAGAGAAACACACGAAATACACTATATCATACATACTGAAAATATTTATATACAAAGGTTAGAGTGTATTCGCTTTTAATAAGAGGTTTGTTTTAGGAAGTTTGAGGAAAAAATAGAGGGGGATGTATTTTGCTTTTTTTTTTTTTTATCCTAGATTTGCACATTATATCATTTTATCAAGAGAGAGAAGCAACTTTTCAATTCTCTTTTTAAACATGGAAATCTCAAGTCAACCTCACCTCATCATTTGGTCTTTGGTTGATATTGGACACCACCTGATCATTTCCCACTTTTTCTTTATCCCTTAGCTTTCTTCTATATAATCACCATTCTTATTAGGAATCAAGTATCATCCATGGGAGTTGAAGGTAGCATGAAGGTTCATCAATTTGCACGTGGATTCTGGGAGCAACAAATGCACGAGCCACCCTCTCTCACTCTTGGATATAAGCGATTTCGCCCACTTGCTCCAAAGCAACTCATCACCACCACTACCACCACCACCTCCTCATCGGAGAGTACCGTCCCAATCTTCGACCTCAAGAGCTTCATTAGACCCGAAAGTGTTCCCATCAAGATTGGATCCTCGGATTATCACAAGAAAGAATCTGCTCAGGTAATTACATAAATAATGCATGTAATTCTTGGGTTACTTCTCCATGCAAATGCTATTGCTCTGAGGGCATGTGTAGTACGCAGTACTGGACATGATCAACTTGTTAAAGTTTGATCAATTTAACATTTTTATGATTTTACATGTAGGTAGAGACGCATCCTGGAGGGACGAGGTGGAACCCAACCCAAGAACAGATAGGGATTCTTGAAATGCTTTATAGAGGAGGAATGCGAACTCCAAATGCGCAACAAATCGAGCAAATCACGGCTCAGTTAGGGAAGTATGGCAAGATAGAAGGGAAAAACGTGTTTTACTGGTTCCAGAACCACAAAGCTAGAGAGAGACAGAAGCAAAAGCGCAATAGTGTAGGTCTTAATAGCCATAGTCCAAGAACACCACCTTCTTCCATACTTAACACTTCTTTATTATCATCTGACTCTAAGGTAATTTAATTTCTTGTCTAATTAAATCTTTTTTTCTTGAAAAAATGTTCGATAAATTAATAAGAATGAAATTTTCTGTAGGGGGACGTTGTGAAGGACGAAGACAGTCCATACAAGAGAAAGTGCAGCACATGGACATTTGAAGAGGTAGAAGAGGACAAGAGATACTGTACAGAAGAAGAAGATAGGACCCTGAAACTCTTCCCTTTGCACCCGGAAGGCAGATGAACAATGTAATTCCAGAAAATGTTCGACTCTCTCTTGTGTACCACTTCGATTTCTTGACTTGTTTTTCTTTCTTGGATTGAAGAAAGAAAAAGAAACAAGTTAAACTTGTATTGATCTCTTTTCACTGTGCTGATTTCTGATCTGTGTTCCATTTCTAACATGAACCTACTAAAGTCGTCTATCGTTTGAAAAATGTCGATTCTTGTTACTCTTTATTTGAAACTTGTTGTTGTCTTCCATTAATTCCAAGGAACAGTTTAAATTAATAAATAACCAATTTTTTTTTCAAGACTTTGATAAAGTATCATATCAATCAGGAGATGTTGTATTATAGCTAGTGGTCTGTGGGGACAAAATTCATACGGATAAAACGTTTAGAAATAAATTATTATTTGAAGTTGTAATAATGACATATTGCTAATTGATGCAACTCAAGCGAACCCTGTTTAAAGCAGCAAAAATTGGTCTGTTTTTGAAAAATCTTAATCATTCAAGAACACAAATTTGAGATTATTCTCCATCTGACATCGTATTTATGTAGTAGTTTTACTTAATAGATAAACAAGAAACTATCAAATATTCTCGACTAAAATTATGGTTATCGCTTACCATCCGAATTAAAATTTCCTTACAATTTTTAGGAACCTTTCAAATCAAATTCGATTTAATAATAATGCTATGTAACACCTTAGTGTTTGGCACTAGTTTATGTGGCATTGGACCCAACAGATTCAAACTGAAATAAATCAAATTATATCTCAATTTTATTGAACAATATACTTGAGGTGACATATAACTCTTAATTAAATTGCGAAGCCTGCCAATTATTCTCAGTTAATGTCTGAATTCTTATTCAACATGGAGATTGCTATTTCCTTACAATATTTTGGTATTTTGAGGAATATTTCAGTGAAGTTAATTCGATTAGTGAACAACAAAACCATCCAATCTTGATTATTTGTTAAGATATTTCATTTTTTTTGGGTCAAGGACTAAATACAATTATATTAGCAAACCAAGTAACTTCATTTTTTCTCCTTTTCATTCTCTCAAAACCTAAACCAAGTTACTCAACTATAGGAAGTAGTGAGGTAGTCAATAAAGTGGACATGCTATTGGATTTGCAATCCAGTTAGCAAATCCTAGTATGATTGTGTTTCAGCCCAAATTCATTTTGTTTTACTTGGCACATGATTTTAGTACTTTTAAACAACTTTGTCTGAAGTGAAGATTCGTGGAAATCAAGCTCTCAATTTTGTTAGAATGCGGAGACTATAGGCCTGTTTGAGCCTCATTATTTCCCCGTTAAAATGAAAAAGATGACCATTATCCATCACATCAAGTCACTATATTTGACTTTTTATCTTTTTTGTGGAGTCCATAACGATTATATTTTTCATTTTTATTTTTACAATAATGTGGCTCAAACGGGGGCTATGATTCATCACAAACTTATTTATGACACACATTTAATAGGCCATCAATTTGATTAAGTTTTCATATATAACTCAACATCATAACACTATCATATTTTGGAAAGCGAAGATGGTTTTTGGTAGAATTGCAGCAATGCAAAAGGTGATTTATATAAGTCCAGATCGACCTCTTTCTAGGAACAGAAGATGGGTGCCTCCATGCGCGAACTTCCTTAACTTCCTTAAGCTTAATGTCGAGGCAGTCCATGAAGAAACAGAATTCATTGGGGAGTGGGAGGCGATTTAGGGATTGGTATGGTAAAGTGATTGGGATCATTTTCAAAATCTATAAGGTACTCGATTGATTTTACGGAGGAATGTTATTCAATTTGGTAGGGAGGGATTGAAATTTGCAGAGACACGTGGTATATGAACATCTTTCTGTAATACAGGAATGCCAATCAATAACTCAATCATCTTCACTCTAGAGAGAGCACTTATATATGCTCCTTATTGGCATCGTTTACATACACAGGGTGTCTTTTTATTGGTGCGAGATGAACAGTGTATCACATATTCTTTAGCCTCTAACATCTTTTTGCATTTTCAAGATAGCTGTTGGTTAGGGAAAAATCCTTGTTTTATCGATGCTTTTGTTTCATCACATGTTGAATAATGCTCTCATTACTTTCAAAAAGACTATTAATCTTAAAATTGATTTTCAATTGAAGAAAATTTTGTAAGGAGCAATTAGAGAGAATGAAGTGAAAATAGCTTAAGCCCCTGTTTGTTTCCAATTGTTGAAAGAAAAGAATTCATTTTTTGCCCCCCTTTGTTGCGAGCATGTGGGACTCAATGTGAGAAATGAAGTCAACAATGGTGGCTGACAGTCTAACAACGGTTGGAAAATGCATTATAATTGGGTTGAAAAATCGGAAACACATAGGGAATAAATTTAAAATTTCATCAAGTGACCTCCCTCCATGCAAGAATCCGTTTCATATTTGCTGTCCTCTGAGTTGCCCTCAACAAAATTTTGATTGTGCATTATAATATTGTGGTGTCAAATCCTACTGAAAGACGATTTTAGCAAGAATTTATTAAAAACTGACTCTAATTTTTTTATTTTTTTTTTCCAACTAAAATTTATAGAAATAGTCAATTTTCTACTTGGCCGTTAAAATAGGATAATTATAAAAAGAAATTGCCATTTCAAATTATCCTTCATCCTATCTATCAACCGCATTACTCGGACTCATGTAGCTCTTAACATCCGATCACGTCGTAAGACACGTGCAAGTTACACGTGTCATCTCAGTAACCAATTAGGCTTTCTTAACTATCTCCTTCCATAAACTATACAGTTCCTTTCTTCTCCGAGTGCGATGCAGTTTTCTGCCCTCCCAAACCTAAAAACCGAAAATATTCTCTCCATTTTTTATCTTTTGAGTTTCTATATCTAGTTACCTTCCCTCTCTTCGTTGTTATATTTTTTTTGACCTCTCTGGGGTTTCTGTTATTTATAACAAAGAGGTGAGGGAAAAACATCAAAAAAGAAGAAGAAAGAAATCAAAACTTCTTGTTGGGAAGGAATGGCACAGATTCAGATGCAGCATCAGAATGTGTTGGCGGCATCAGTTGGACCGAACGGAGTGCCTGCGGCCACTCCCGCACCGGGTGGAGGGACTAGCCAATTTCCCTCGACTTCTTTGTATGTCGGGGATTTGGATTTCAGTGTAACGGACTCGCAGCTTTACGAATTGTTCAAGTCAAATGAAATTTTATTATTATTTATTTTTTTAAAAATAAAAAAAAAATTAATAAGCTAAAGTCTAATAAAAGACTTTGGCCAAAAAAAAAATATACAAAAAATACCAAAAAAAACAAATAAAGTGCGCCTAGGGAAGGCGAAAGAGAGGAAGGAAAAATTCAGCCGTTTAAGAATTGAAAAAAAGCGTCTAATCATGAAGCGATGCGTTTTGTCCGAGTTTCAAGCTTAGGCGCCGCCTAGTTGAGCATTTTAGTACACTGAGTAGGTGCGTATGTGCCAGTTTGTTATAATGCCAAATGCCAATAGAAGTGGGATAACTTGGGGTTTTGGCTATAGGAGTAAAATGAAACCCCTGCAGTTAGCTGAAACTAACAATTCAAAGTTTCTCAAGGTTTAGTCCTTTATACTTTAAGCAGCTTGATTGAGTTTTATCAAGATGACCAGCGTTTGTTCCTTTTTTATGTAACATTACATAAGAACTAAACAAGGCCAGGTGGCTTGGCATATGAAGTCAAGGATTTGATGAACCTTTACACAGCCCCATCCAGAGAGAAAAATGATAGTGAAATAGAAACAATAAAGAAACCATTTTACAGTCACTATTATTATCCAATTGAATTACTTGTTGGCTGCTTCCCTGTTGAGAGCGCATATGATGATGACAGAAAAAAGAATCCTATGTTTTTGGGTGATTTTAATATCATAGGCTGTTGTGACTTCTGAGAGACCACTGCTTTGAGGCTTGGCCCACTTGAGGTTTTCATTAAGAGTACAAAGATTTACACTTAGGCGTGCAATCTCAACTCATAAACATTGGGGTGACAGTGGTGTGTGCTCCTCTATGTTCACCTTCTGCACAGTTTGTTGTTGGCCTTTGATGTCTTGATGTGATTACTTGTCATGTTATGTGATCAAGACCTTTTACTTTACTATTTATTACAAGTCGATCCATGTTATGTCTTGAGTTGCAATTTTGAATTTTAATCTTGTTAAAATGTTTTTCTCAGATTTTTTTAGATGTTTTTTGACTTATTACGAGTGAAATTTAGTATTTTGCACTTTTAAGTTATTTTATTGGTTTAGGCGGAGTTTTATACCTTAGTATTAGTAACAGAGTGGCCAGGCTTTGAGGCAAAAAAAATTCTCGAAACCTGATCTTGCCGTTTTAAATACCACAGAGCATTTAAGTTGTTTCTTGAGATAATACTGGTTCTCTGTTTTAAGTTTGCTTGTACACTTTTGTTATTGAAGATTCTAAAAAGTCCCAGATAATCTTGTCCTTTGTCTTCCGAGTTGAAAGAAGGAAAAGGCTAAGTTTTGCAATATCTGATGTGTCTCCTGTTTTCTCTGATTATAGCGACTAGGGCAATGGAAGTGCTGAACTTCACTTCTCTGAACAACAAGTCCACCTGAATAATGTTCTCATCGAGATCCCAGTGTTCATAAAAGTGGAGCTGCAAACATACTTATAAAGGTTTTTGTGCTCAAGTGCTTTTCTTCTATTGTTTTATCTTACTAGACCGATTGGAAGCTTGTTAGTTTTTGAATTAGCATGTTATTTCCTTTCAGTTTGGTATGTGTCTCCTCTTTCTTATTTCATCATGATAATTTCGTTCCAGCTGATCTATTAGGTTGGTGAATTCGTTTAGGTGGATTTTTGTCTACATAATCTTGTGCGTTTGCCAGGAACAGGATAATAGTTCTTTTAAACTCAATGTTTGGTATTGATGATTCCATACCTTGATGCCTGCCATTAGTTTGCCCGTGTATTTTTGTATTGGCATGTACAATGAATTGTTGCTATACATAGTTCAGGGGAACTTGCATGGTTTGTTGTTGTTCCATATAGCTTCAGCTATATATATGGTCTGAGTTCTTTGAGTCGGAGGTGTTATGTTATTTATCACAAATTGATTTACTGTTTTGCATTCGGCAGTTTGTGCTTGTATTTTTATGTAGTGAATTAGTTACAAATTCATGAAATTTACTTTGCAGAATTTTGACAAATCAATTGATAATAAAGCACTACACGATAT